TACCAACTGTTAACACATTTTAAACTTGTATTTTACTCTAAAACATAATCTGAAGCTGCTTGAGAGGTCTACAAAACCAACACAAAGGGTCAGTTCACAACAGCGCAACAAGCAGCTAAGCAGGACACTCAGCTTTCACAGGGAGGCAGGATGAATCAAAGAGGCACATCACTGTGTGCTTGTCTGTGCCCCAAATACTCTGCATTTCTTACTTAGCTGTGTACATCATTTTTTTAATCACAGTGTTTATTCAAGATAACAAGAAGGGTCAGGTCAAGGGGAGTGCTAGAGGGGCTCATGTTTCCTATAGTTCTCAGTGGCCAGGTCTCCAAGCTGCACCTCACAGTCTATTAAAAGATGTGAAACATATTCAGAGAATGTCAGTCACAACCAATGAAAAACAGGCTCAGCTCACAGCAATCTGGCTTCCAACAGGCTTCAAGATCAATCCGAATACTTGGCACTGGCTGAACACCCCCAGCAGGCCATGGGTATAATCTTTGCACTCATGAGCAAGGTCAAATAAGGCTCAGAGAGAAAAAAATAAAACAATAAAAAAACAACCACATGCCTTTACCTGAACCTGCACATACATTTTTCTAAATCGAATCGATTTACTAAGTAGATCTGCAAACAAGCTTGGCTGGAATGCACTTGATTATCTAGCACAATACTTTCCAAGAAACAAATATGGCTGACAAGGATTCACCCTGACACCAGACCAGGTTTCTAATGATATTATTGCACTAAATCTTAAATTCAAATCCATTTTCAATAACTTTTTTTTAACTGAGTAGCAAGAAAAATGCAGCTTAAGTATGACTAGCTGAATTTTGATTAAGAAGACACAAATATAACGTCAGGGAGGCTGTCACACAGCCGCTGGCACATTAATTAACCTCAACAAGGCCGACAGAACAAAATATTTCTCCTTTCCCTGTGCTCGCTGTGTGTGTCCACTGCTCTGGGCTCCGGGCGCCGCACAGTGCGTGCCTACGTGGTGTGGCTCAGTGCAAAACTGCTAGTCAGGCGACGGTTAGGGCAGCCATTTGCGCTCGAGAAAGGCTGGATCCTGATATATTTAACATATTATTACAAGAATGGAAAGGTGCTAATCAATCACTAACATTTTCAGGTATCACTTGTGAACTGATTTTATCGCTAGCTCACACTTATCGCACTGTGTAACATTTTACCTAAAAATTAGAAACAGCCACATTATTAACATGACAAAAAATATCTCACTCTTGACACCAGGTTTTCACCTCTGAAAGGGGGAATGTAACATTTCCTCAAAACCAGGAAACAATGTGGATTATCTAACACAGCAACGGTGTTTAAAACATAAAAGCTATGGCGTCTGTAACTTGGTCGAAACTTGTGATTGTTACATTCCAGATCAACAATGCTACTCGCACTTGTTCACACGTTGAAATAAAAAATGGAGGCTAAAAAAGGAAACAAGAGCTCCCTTCTAAAATACCACCCATTTCTCTTAACCGCCACCGAGACTGGGGGTTGGTAGGTGGGGGAGGTGAAGAACAGCAAGCTAATACCCAACAGATCTGGTTTTGTGATTGATGGGTCCCACATGCCCACAGAAATCGTAACAAGCACAAATAGAGAAGAAACAACCGAGCTTTCAGACTGATTTACACTGAGCAATGCTACCAACGACAAATGCATTAACATGATGTAGCTTAACACCACAATGATGCAAACAATATATTTTCCATAAACTAAGCGTATTCATCTAGAAATATACGGTTAAAATGATATCCGTTTGCAGATACGTCAGGTGTATACACAGCGAAAGAGCCACCGTGTGTACTGTAAAGAAACGTATCGAAGTAAGTACACAATCAACTGGAAAACATCCAAAAAGTTAGCTAAAAAAGCTACAATAGCATTTGTTGCCTATAGCTTGTCTGCTAACGCTAACCAACACAGCAGCTGGTTGCTTCGCTTACATGAATAGCAGATAATGATCAAATTGCAAATTGTATCTTGCTGAACTTTCAAAGCATTCGACAGTTTCACAGACCCAACACTACACTTAAAATGCCGCTGTCAAAAGAACAACCCAGCAACATTTTTGGTCCTTATAAAATACATGTGCATATTTCCACAGGCGGTAAGACTGGAGACTTACTAGCCAAAAAGATGGCATACAGGGCTATTTTATCATCCAATTTAACGTAATAACTATGCAACAGTCAAGAATAAAGCACACGGTGCTCTGGTGATGTTTCAGCTGTGTACCTTAAGAGTACGTCAAGCCTCTGTGGAAACACAATATCGAAACTTGCTCAGCCAAGATTTAATACTTAAAAACAACACACATTTGTAGCTTAGTGGGACTGGTGAAACAGACAGTTCATCTATTTAGTACGTTATTGCAACGAAAAACCAGTAACAGAACAGATGTGTTACTGGTTTACTCTTGGTGTAAAAACTGAGGGAAAGCCCCTGAAATTAAGACAACCCTAAAAGACTAAACATTACACGAGAAACTGGTGAAAACTTGGAGAATGGTGCTGAGCTTCGAAGACGTAGTGTAGCACTGGCTATTATAAAACTAGTAATGTGGTGGATTTCCAGACGAACACCCAGACTGGAAAACAACACGAGGAGTTAAGACTACGATCACTAAGATCAGTACAGACATAGCCAAGCAAGGCAGACCATTACTTTAGGGGGCTTTTCAGCCACTCAAACAAGCCAGTTCCACACTGGGGGCAACAAACTTGTTCTAAACTTAAGACGACGCTAAGTAGTTAGCTAGCTTAGTTGGTTAGCGTCATAAGTAATGTTGTGTTTGGCTGACTGCAAACACGGCTAATTAACGTTAATGTCTGTTATATTTAATTCGCTGCTTCCATTTTAAAAAGGTAATTAATAAACGCTGAAGGAACTCACCTAAAAAGGCATTCCAAACTTGAACAAATGAAGAAAATTCAGTTACAGTAGGAAGTCCTTAGAATATCCCAACATCAAATCTACCCAGACCAGTAGGCCTGTATGTCGGCCTCGGTGTCTCCTGTATCCTTTGCCCTCAAAAGTAGCTACCTCTCCAAGGGAAGGAAACAAACTTCTCAGTGTCTCCCACGTATAGGCGGAAAGTTAAATTCCCTGTCCTGTTTAGTTGCAGTGCGTCCATTGAATGTCTATGATAGATCCTCGGTGGACAGATCCGTTTATTTTTGTGTTGTATATTTACAGTCGCTATTTATAACGGGGTATATGCTGCTGTATGTGATACAGGGCTCTGATTCTGTCTCGGGTCCCTACACTCGCAGAGGCGCCCATCCCCCTCCTCACCGGTATCGACCGCGGGTCCCAGCGAAACTGACACACAACCATGCCACGGGGTTTTCAGAGCGGCCGTGCAGGGGCCTTCTCTGGGGGCGGCCTTTGATACGAAATCCCGCCTGTTGCCAGTGATTCGACGGCTTTGTGTCAATCATGTTACACTCCAGATATGCATGTAAGTGATTGGTGAATTACGGCATCGATTTTTTTTTTTTTGTCAACAACGTCAAACTGGGCAGGCACTGCTTAGTGGAGGGGTGCGAAAATTCTAGTCCATTATGAGATCTGTGTGCTGGTGGCATACAAGGAGAAGAGCTAAAGAGAATATCTGGATTCGGGAAACAATTTGACATACAACAGAGGACCTGTACCTTCTAGTTTTCGGAAGGGCTCGTTATTAAATTCTAATGCCATGGAATAATTTTAATTCGGTAGTGGGATTACTGTTTTTGATTTGAGAGTTATATTCACCTCTCCACTGTGGAAGAAGCTTTCATACCAATGCAGAGTAGGAAGCGTTAGCTACACGGGGTCTCTGGGGCCCAGTTTCAGGGACACCAAAGACAGGGTTAGCCCGCTGGGTCAGCCCCACCTACCGGTATGTCACATGAATGGAGTATGAGGGGTTGTTCTGGCAGCATCTGGCAAGGGTTGAGCAGGGAAATTGACCAGTTCTCCTGGGTTGCATCTCCTTATTAGTGGTCCCGCCTACTTTTGCTCCCGCTGGCGAAATCAGTCATTTCCCACATTTGCAGACAGAAAGCGACCAGACCAACACAAAACATACTTATTTGCAGGCAGCGGATCAATAAAACTAAATATTTTCGGAGTTTTAGGAGAAGGACGAGCGAAATAAAGCACAATGTTTGCTCTGATGTCAACATTTACTGAAACATATTTGAGCCACAGTTGTTTCTTGTTGAATAGTGTGACGATATTGCCCTGGCCTACCACACACTGGATTGCTAAAAGGAAGCATTATTTAAAAAACATAATAGTAAAGGATTATGACATTTTGATTGTGATATCTATGAACACAGTCACAAGATGCGATTGGTTTCCTGTCATGTCATGAGACTTTGAAGGGACTTGGGATTGGCTGTGATGATAAATGTCAACGTCATTTGTTGCAGAGGTCTGGACAGCCATGAGATGGATGAGACAGCAGAAAATAATAAAATTACATTGCGGTTCTGGGGCTTTCATAATACAATTAAGGCTGTAGTTGGTTTTTTTTTTATAGCAGATTCATTAAACACAGTGATGACTTGTGTATTTGGATACATATGATGTGAAGGTATAGTCCAAAGAAAGTATATTTTCATTTCTGATTAGCCGCAGAACTGTATACTACCCCTAGACATAAACACGTAATGTGCCGACTATCCAAGTAGAAACTAATGGTACCTACGCGCGCGTGTGTATATAATAGTAGGGGAGAATTATAGTAACCGGTAACAGAGAGAACAAGGTTTACAGGTTTCTCAGTCAGACAACCATGGTCGGCAGCGGTCAGATTTCACAATGCTGCCTTTGTTACTGCAGTGAACAAGCAATGTCATATGGCCAGTCCAAACCGGGCTCTGCAATATGGCTGTGTTCAACCCTCCCCCACTCCTCTCTCACAGCCGCGGCTGCAGCAAATCTTTCATCTGCATAATCAGGTAAAACACGATTCAGGCTGCTTGTTACTTAATATGGGGGCATTTTAATAGTCTCCGATATCTGAAGCACTCACACAAATGACTGTAATAAATGTACACAACGATTTCTCCAGTTATACACACTGCATGCACCACACTGCCAAGATGTTACAAATAAAATTGACAACTTATAAATTCTGGGAATAGCAGCTCATGCCCAAAAGTATGTTAGTGAGAACAAGACACACAACAGCTCACACATAATTCTTTTGAGTATTAAGATTATTAGTGTGCAAGACCATTTATTCACCGAGTCCAAAACAATTGTCATACACACAATCATTTGCATTCTCTCAAGCTGTAACTGTAAATTATTGCAAACTATTCACCACAGGCAGTCAGAATGCATAGTTAGGCCCAGTACAGACCTTAACGACATGGCATTCTGGCTCCATAAAACCATCAAATTCTACCAGTAAATCCAAACATGACAACTTAAGATTTTTTTTTTTAACATTAAGAAAAAAATACAACACAGTCCAGTAGCTCTGCATACTGTTTAGGATGGCACACCACACATTGTACAATATATGGCCCTAATAGGCACATGTATACAAAATATAGCCATTTTTGAGTAAGTAATGTTATCGAGCCTAGAGGATAGGGATCTTTGGAAGAATGTTTGCATACAGACCAGACTTAGTCAAAAATTGGTATTCACATATTATCAATTAACAAGTTCCCCTTGCAGAAGCAAATCCAGGAGCAAAATAGTACACTTAATTGGAGTATAGTTCTAATTTCATTATATATATTAGTCTACAGTTTTGGTCAACCAAAGCTGCTTGAATTGACTTTACCATATCTGAAACTGAACAACAGATAAGGTGTTTGAAAACTGAATGAGCCTAATATGACTCTTTTCTAACTAGGTGGCCTGTTTAAAAAGGACAAAGGTCACCAGACAAGAAGTTTCAACTGCCTCTGTCTTGTGAGGATTCAGTCTGCTTCTCCCCTCCTGCTCTCAACAGCCAACTACATGGCTCAGACAAAGAATGAAAGACAAACAAATGACAGAGTGTTTGATTTCTGGTGTTGGTCTTGTTTTCCCTTGTTCTTTAGGTCTTTTTTTATTTATTTAAAGATTGTTGCACTCCTGCCAAGACTCTCCCTGCCGCTGGGAAACGCTGCCCTCTGCTGGCTGCACTGTGCTCCTACAGAGTCATGTCTCCCCCACTGTAGGTTTGACCTCCTCAGAGTAGCTTCAGACTCCCAGTGACATTGTTCACCATCTCTTCCTCACCCAGGATGGCCAGGACAGTGCAGGAACCAGCCTCCACCTGCCAACATAAGACGGCTTGGTTTAGTGCTGAGATTTTCAACTGTGTTCACACCAAGGTTATACTGACAAAATTTGATATATTAATAAACTGTTCAATAACATTAGGGGAACACTTAAACCACACATTGTATCTTGATGAACAACTTATTCAAGGTGAAAACCTTTACTAATGTACATTGTCATTTTGTTCTGAACAAATTATACAATGATCCTTGGAAACCAAACTCAACATTCAAAATCACACTGAAAATAAGTGAGACATGGAAATCACAGGCTCATCCAAGTTAAGTAAATTTTATCATTGCAACTCATAATGTGACTCAGAAGCATGTGTGTGGCCCCCCATGTGCCTGTATGCACTCCCAACAACGGATGCACCAATACATAAATGTCCCAGGTGCACAATTAGATTTAGTTCAGGGAAAATCAGGGCCAGACAATGGCATCCAATATAGTAATACTATAGATAAGGATAATCACCTTTATTGGCCAAGTATATTACACACAAGGAATTTGTTTCCGTTACAGAACCAATGGCAGCCACCTGCGGTGCCAACTCAGCTGATGGTTCTGTCACCTCCCAACAAAAGTATGCTAACTCTGTGCCATCCCTTCTGCACTTGCTCTCGCACAACAGCAGCATGTTGGCTGCTGCCCTCCTGCTAGGTTACATCTCTCTCTTCAGCTACAATATCTCTTGCTGCTTCAGCAGCACTGGTTGAAACCATTAAATCCTTGAAATAAATCACCTGGATCGCTAATCACACTGATCCGACTGATCAGGTTTCCTATGCCTTTCTATATTCCCTTGGACTGAGGGAGCAAACATTCAGAGTCAGAGTTTATGAACAAGCATTGACTTTATCCATTTGTAGAGCAGAGCATATACATCCATGCTATATACAGTGTGCTGACCTTGGCAACAGCTCTATTCCAATAGCTTAGCCAGCCTTACTAGCTTGCTAATGACATATTAGAAGAGTACTAATGCTATATTAGTGCTTATTTGTAAAATATTTTGGGAATTATTACTGGCTGTGTTACAAGAGGTACGCAGACTCTTTACTTAAAAGTAACACCACAGTGTAAAAATACTCTTCCAAGTCCTGCATTCAAAATGTTATGCATGTACAAAAGTATTAAACTATACAAAGTACCAAAAGACAAAGAACTCATGCAGAATAGCAAATTTCACATGAATGTATTATTACTGGATTATAATTACTGATGTGTTATTGTGTACATCACATTTAATGTAGCAGCTGGTAAAGGTGAAGCTCATTTCAACTACCTTATATGATTATAATTTGAAGTATTGCTGTCATTAAACATATTTTGTCTTATTAATCCGATTCTGAAAAGTTACTCCCGGTGATATCACTGCTGTGTGAATATGGGAGTGCGAATGGGTAAATGGCTAAATAGTGTGAAAGCGCTTTGAGTGTTCTGCAATGCACAGAAAAGCGCTATACAAGTATACAACCATTTACCATTTAACTAAAGTTATCAAATAAATGTAGTGCAGTTAAAAGTACAATATGCTTCTAAAATGTATTGGAGTCAAAGTATTACATATCAGAAAATGAAAATACTCAAACTGTACAATAGTTGAGTAAATGCACCTAGTTACATTCCACCACTGATTCCTGGTACCCCATAATACATGTATACACAAGTCAGCTTTGAAAATAGCATGCGTCCCTCACCTGGGTAAGCCCTGCATCTTGGACCAGATATGTGGGCAGGCTGAGGCTCATGGCCAGGGCCTGCAGCTCCAGTAGATGAGCCACATTGGTACCCTGGACTACCACCTTCTTGGCTCTGTATCAACAACATGCACATTTACATTATCCTTAACTAAGATTATTCAACAATTATTCATCAATATCATACATGCTATCAAAATCTGTCCATCAAAATGTACTTCTATAATCAACAATGGCACAAATGGGAGACTTGACTGAACTGAGCCATTCTACAAAGCAGCCAATGGGTGAACCAAGTGTGAAAGCTCAAAACAATGCGACACAGACATACTGCAGTTTGTGGAGCAATGACCGGAGCAGAAAAAGCAAAAGTAGCACCGCTGTCCTGACACAGCTGAAGGATTATGTCATTAAAAGAATTTTAGAGACTTTAGCCAAATGACATCAAAATGTAAATTTAAAAAAAGTATTATAATCACTGAATTTTAAGTTGGCAACATGGTTTAAGGTTAAGGTTAGGTAAGTAGTGGTTATGGTTAAGGTTAGGATAAGTCTACAGGAAATGAATGTACTGTAAGTCAATGTAAAGTACCCAACAAGGAATGAAAACACAGCTCTGTGTGTGTGTGTCGGGGGGGGGGGCTCATGTCTTACTAACTCACCCAGTGTGGTCCCACTTCCAAGCCATCTCCCTCCAGCTGTTCTTCTCTTGTAGAGCCTGGTACAAGCCCACAGCAGCATGGCCAACCTGGGCTGCCACCTGCACCAACACACTGCACTGAGTTCGCTTGAAATAAATATACAAATCAAGTTTTTCCAGTTCTAATGCAACCTAAAAATAAAATCTGCACGAAACCACTGCAATCACTGTTTCAATGCAACTGACATGAATAGAAACCTGTTGTACTCTGAGCATAAGACTAGAGAACCTAGCAGGTGTTAATTATCTGATGAACCTGGAAAATTCCAGGTGAATGTAAAGTAAAGACAAGCTTTGTGAAGTAACAGAACACATCGCAGCTTTATGCAACTGCAAAACCAGAGACAAGAGTCATTACATTATAAGGGTACAGACCTTAAAATGTTTACTTTGCTAAAAGTTCTTCCTCTACTTTCTATCAGTAGAGCAGCAAATCACCACTGATTGATTAGGAAAACATATTCTTTGATGGATTGTGCATTTGTGCATGTAGAGACCACAGTCCTCACTGGTACCACTGGCCTCACCTTTCCAACACCCATGGCAAGGTCCATGTTCACCACAAACACCATCTTGTACATGAGGTCATCATCTCCCTCCTCCTGCGAGTCACAGTGGACAAACAGAGACACTGAGATTTGGCTTTGGACAAACTCCACAAGCTCTAACGTACCAAGGTGTACCTGTGGGGACTAAGGCTAGCTTATGGGCACCTCATTCTCCAGCTTGTTGAAGTAGTACATGGCCGCCTCTTGAGCAGACACGTTCCGAGTGTGCAGAAGTGCCTGAAGCGATGAGAAAGGTCAGAGAACAAACGGCAGTCAATTACAGTGTGGACACATCTGCCCTAATGTTGCCAGACAAATTGATAACTAAACAATACATTTATTCAAAAAACCTCATCTTTCACAGTTTACTCACTCACACTGCTCCATTAATATGGAATTATTATTTGAAGTATTCAATTATTGACAGTTTTGAGCTTTTGGATATGACCCAGTTCTGAATATTAATAGCTACGGCCTGATTCAGATGTGGTATCAAACTCAAATTGTTAGATCCAAGTCACAACAAAATCTAAAAGCTACTTAGTCCAAGGACCCAGGGCCATACAACAGCTGATCTTGCAGAGCCAGCTAGGTGCCGGTCAGTCATCTGAACCGGTCTGTTCATCTGTTTATGACCATGTCAGCTTAGCCAGTGTAGTCTCAAGAGCTGCCAGCTCTGAGGCCACTGTCCCACCTGTTTGGCTGCCTCCTCGGGGATGGCCAGCTCTCTGAGCTGCTGGAGAAACACGGGGTTGACATCCTGGGAGCACGAGTCTGGGCCTGACTGCTCTGATGAATCCATTCTTGACTGCAGAAACACAAACCATAACAATTAATACCATGCACAGAACTAGCCCACATGACAGGACACCATTGTCGGCAATACTTACCACAAACCTTGGTTGTGAGTACTTTTAATCGCATTCATGCCCGTTCATCAAGCCACGTATAGCACAACTCATATATGACTACTTGGATGTATGGTTTATAATAACACATCGAGCTAACCGAATAAACCGAGACAGGCCTAAAGCCTTGCATTAACCTGCCAACTACGTACGTTCGTTAAAGATGGATTTTACACAAAATAGCTCTACTTGTAAGTTGTAAACGTGTTTTAACTAATATATTGGTATCATTGTAACAGTAGCAGCTTACGTTACATTAATGTACTTTTCTAGGCAAGGCCGTGTTAAAAGTAATGACTTTAACGTTATCTCTGTACCAGAAGGGACTAAGAAGCTAACACAAGGCTACCCAAACAGCTATCCACAAAATGTAGCAAAACGAGTCATAACTTAACGCTAGCTATCTAAATACGTCGTTAACGTTAGCAAGTTTCGTGACCGCTGTTAGCTCACCAAATAGCCTACGTTACACGCGATGCACATTAGCACAGAAACAAACCAGCCAGCCTTAAAACGTTAGCTTTCATTTCCACTACTAAAATAGTAGTATTTAGTAGGAATACTAATCACAAACTGTATTATGATGCTTTACGTGATGTTTTCTTGGCAGCTAATTAACAACCTTTCTTGTTCATCGGCTGTATTTATAAAGCTAGCTACCATTAACCGCTAACGCTAACATGACTAGGCTAGCTTTAGTCTATCGAGTTGACTGTTAAGATTACCTGTTCAGCGCAGCTAGTTCGACAGTAGGAGCAAAGATAGCGAGTGCAAGTCGTAATTTTCACCTGCGACGGAGGATTTTCTGTTCGAATGTGCAATTAGAGTCAGCGGGATTCCTTGTCTTCAGCGTTACTCCATTTGGACCGTTGTGTTTGTTGACACAACCTGCTGCCCCTTGTCGAGCGAGGTGTTCCCTGTTCGCTCTGTTAATCCTACACACATGCGCAAAAAGCAGATGTAGCTATGAGGATATTCCGTGAGGACGAATATCGCTCATTAAAATATTGCGCTGTATTCTATGACCTTATTTTCACACAAGTACGCCATCGATGGACATAAACCCCCGTAATACTGTGATGGAATTACGACCCCATCATTGTTAGGTTATTTGTTTTATTGGAATAGAGCTGCACTCTTGCATACTTGATGTGATGTCATTGCGGAACCTGTAAGGGATCAGTGTGCAAATGTGGAGGATGCACATTTAGATTCAGCCCTTGAATGTTTTACTGTACCACTAGGACCCCTAGTGGTTAAGATAATTTTGTGAATAACATCCTAATGGACTCATCAAATTACATTTTTAGCATGCATTTATTCTGGGTAGTTTCAATAGAATTGACTACACTTCAGCATTCTGATCTTGATGGTAACTCAGACTAATGAATGCACACAGCCCCATATAATCAGGACAAACTGTGCCTTCAGCAGCATCCCATTATTTATTCAATTTGAGATCACAGCTGTCAGTTTCTAAGCCTTTACATGTGAACCGCTTAAGGGATTTGAAAACAACACAGTTTTAAGAATACTTTATTACAACAGCATGTATGAGAATTTGCATCTTTTCTTATTAAACTTGTTAAGTCTCTACAGTTATAGTCACTACATTATGTACAATGATATTCACACACAAAATAAACATCTTTAAAACTGCTCCTTGCAGAGCCTGCTCTACACTGACAAAGTGATACAGCCTAATAAGAGTTAGGTTTTCTCTCAGACTGCTTGTCTGAATCATCACTAACCTAAACTGACAGCATTTTACAGAACAAACCATCTGTTCATATGAGTTATTACATGGACAGAAATGAGAGCATTCTGAAAATATCATCCTTTTCAGTGCTGTCTTTTTTTGGTCACTGAACCTCATTATGTTTAGGTGGAGACTGTGTCTACAGCACTGACTTGAATACTAAAGCTGGTTAGTCTCAGTCCTGTCCTATAAATATTGTACAGTTTGGATCTTGTTCAGCTGTTTGTATTGAGTCAACAAACACTGGATCCGAGAAAAAAAAAATCAGGAATGTTTTTTATAGGCACTGTATAAACTCGGCAAAATAAGTTACTGAAAAATCTTAATTTTGATTGTGAAACTATATTAACATATTGGTAACTGGACTTTGTCAAAGTCTGTTTCCTGGTTAACATGGATAAGAGATAACTGGTTAACCCAACCAGTTATCTCTGCTGTGCCTAACCACAACAAAAGTTTACTCAAATTACTGTAAGACCAAACCACAGCCACAACAACTGGTGCCCTTGGAAACACTAGTTAAAGGGGAAACGGGGTTTGAGACATGACCAGCATTGACAACCATACCCAGCCCAGTGAACCTCTAGGACGGCATGAGAGTCTTTGTTCACTATATAGTACAAATTTGCTGTCCACCATTTCAACAGCCTGCTTGTCTGTATGCTGAGTTTGTAAATCTATACACTATATAGTGACACTCAAAAATTCCACAAAGGAATAAAAAAATTAAGTCCATGGCATGTACACTACTGTCTGCCCCCACAATGCAACACTGAGAAAATGACTGAGGAGTGGTGCTGCAGTGGTTAGTGATGATGCAAAATAAGTGTCTGAAATCTTTCCTGCTCACTACTGAGTGAACTATTTAGTGTACATTATATGTGGAGTAGTGATTAGAGGGAGTGAGTTTGGACACAACCTCCATCATTTAAATACCAAAAATATCAGCACATATTAGCTTTTGTATGAAAAGTGTCTGTGTTCCAATCAAAAGCAGAACAGTGTGACAAGATCGACACCTACTGAACCTGTAGCAGGACAGTTGACACAACATGACAAAACAAAATGTCATACAAATGTTCAGCACATGAAGCAAGAACTCTATACCAACCATGACATCAATACCAAAACATGTCAACAAGCCCCACTGCCTCTGCTTGGAGTGGAACAAACCATGATTTAACATGTTGTTCACCTAAAGGGAATGCTGAAACACTTAAAGAACAGAAACGCACAACAAAACAGTGGAGCCCCGACGAGGATTCCTCTTCACTGATAGTTTTGTTTTTCCTCTAACATCTTTCCAGTGACTTGTACTCTATACACACACATCCACATTATTGCTGCACCGACTGAATGAAGGTCACTCTAAAATTCTGTTGTACATGTTACAATGACAAAGGATTATCTTATCTTATAAGCATAAAATCAAGACATAAAAACAGTCAGTGGGGTTTGAGTACCTTATAAAGCTCCACTGACTACAGTGTGATGTTCACCTCACACAAGCAATAAAAATAAGGAACTAAAATATGTATGTGTGTGTGTGTGTGTGCGCACTACTGCAAATTGGATGCTCAGCTGCTGTTACTGTATATGTGTATAAGGTGCTGCTATACTGGTAGTTGTACCTGGCTGACAGGTACATAGTAGTGTTTTTGCTAACAAGTGTCGACTACATTAAAAAATAGAAACACCGATACAGAAAACCTTCAGTGATTCTCTGTAAGTTAAGGGACTTATTGATGATGTTATCACCATGGTTTCAATCCAAAACAAAGGAAAACATTCACAATGTTTTCAAAATACTACTCACTGTAACATCCAAAATATAAGAACCAGTTGGATGAAATGTAACAAGATGGAGACTGACAACCAGGGTAACTAGGCATAAATGCACACACATACACACGCAAAAATAACCTCTGACTGTACAGCAGTACACAAGAATGAAACGTACCTCTTGTATCATAAAATTCACTTCAGAGAGAAAATAAAGTCCTTTCATCAGTCTTCAGATCTGATCAGCTGGCTGCATACACATGACAGCTGCTGTGTTAAGTCTGAAATCCAGCACAGATTTTGCACAGATTACACACAGTTTTCCCTCCAGATGTCTCTTCATAAGCTGAGTGACAGCAGGCCTGACTGATGTCTCTTACATGCACCCCCTGTCTTTGCCCAGGTTTGTGTGGTGTCTATGTGCTCTCCTGTTTCTATAATGGGCTCAGGGCCTCATGGGGCCACAGACCCATCAGTACTGAACACCTAAAAAGGACAATCACTTCCACTTAAATGCCAGTTTTAATCTTCTGATCCTTAATGTTGAGAGAAGTTTTTTTTTTATGCGCCCCCTCCTCTACTCCCACTCCTCCTCCTCAAACACAACAGTGTGTTTTCACATGTGCCCCTTCAGTGCTCTCCTGCTTTGCATTTCAACCTGCAGGCTGATGATGTGACACTGGTGAATGTTTCCTCTGTCACAAATCAGTGACTTTATTCTCCACAGCAGCAGCGATCTGCTGCAGTCTGTAGCCCAGCTGCATCTTCTGGGCTGTGGTGTCCTCCTCCAGCGCTGTGATGATCTGATGAGAAGGTGACAGAAAAGTGGATGAGAGGACAGGCAGTTTGACAGGGTGGAAATGACAAACAAAATTAAGATTTACTATCCCTGTAAGCACTACTAAAGAATTTTAAAAAAGGATACAAAAAAAAAAAAAAAAAAAAATCACACAAACTGTGATTATTCAACACTTAAAGAGTGCTATACATCACATGAGAATGGTTGGAGGGAAATGTATCACCACTGTATAGTAAATGAAAACTAGTGGAACCCTCCCAGCTTGTCAGTTCATGGAGTTTTCTCCAGTCACATGGCAAACTGACATGTACGTTTAAAGCCACAGTGGATACACCACTTCTGTGTGATGTCCTACTGTGTCCTGACTGCTCGCAGTGAGACAGGAATATTGTGCTACATTCCACACACCCTGGGGTGAAGGGTTTCCTTGTGTTACAAACAGTGTTAAAGATAATACAGTGTACACCTTATGATCCCATACTGGTGTACTGGATTACTGTAATTTTACACTGCACGTCAGAGATGGATGTCATCATCAGTTTCAGTTCACATTACTGGCCATATGATTCTTCATAAAAACAACCTAAATAGAAATGTTTCCCATTTTTATACATTAACTTTCTACAGTAAACTATTCAATGAAGGTGCTGTTTCAGTACTGGGTTTTAATGGTTTTACTAAAAAAAAAAAACACACACACAACAAGTCATGAACACAGGAGTCTAAAGTCCCCACGGTGTGACACATTATGTATCAGTGATACAGTAATCCTTGGAGTGAAAACCCCTGACTACAGCAAACAGCAAAGTTGGAAACTAGAAGCTGATGGCCTAAAATATCCTTAACTGACTCACAAGTTTAGTTCCACCTTACTGATCCATCATATACTGCTATAATACCACTGACCTCATAACCGTGCAGTCAGCTGTCCTTTACAAAATGCTAATTACATCTGTTGCAACTGCAGCATCCCTGCCAGCTCCAGCAAACTCAGCTTCTTCCCCAGGCTCTGAGAACTCTAAATGCACTGATGGCCCCTTCTCCCAGCCATTCCCTGGCACGTAAAGGAGGCACTTTAATACGTGCACCTTCATCAAAAACTGTTAAATTGTCATAGACACTACTATGGTAACAATCCATCGATCTGGATCAATACATTGATCAAACACAGATGACATCAATGCAAAATGTAAACACTGATGTTTTGTGTGCTTTTAGTTTGACAGCCAGCCACATACGTACATGTTTTGTATGCGTTTTCAAATTGGATAACAAGCACTGGGCGGTGCAGCTAGCACTCCCAGACTGAGAATTCACACTACAAGACGTGAGCAGTGCATAAGCTACTGAAGCATTTCTGTTCAGTCCACACCGACTCCGACTTCTGTGCAGCGTCACTGTCATCAGAACAGCTGCTTGTCTGTCGCCTGGACAGTGACAGGCAAAACGGTCTGGGAGAAATATACTTTGTTAAATGCATCAAAGAGAAGAAACTTGAAGCTTAGTAAACCAGTGTGCCAGTTCCAGGGGTGACGCGTCACACATGCATGTCTCCGAGTCAGTGGGGACTGACACATTAGATAGATCGGGTTTAATCTGTTGCATGAGAGGGGCCAGTGACAAAATACCTCCTATGAGAACTGGCCTTGACCTGTAGCAGCCAAGAAAAATATGCAGATAAAGTAACTCTACCATCAGAAACAAGTCATGTTTATGAAGTATTCTGGAGTAAAATGGACACGCACAACAATAAGTGTGAATGTTAAGTATTAAACAGACGTTTTACTGCAATATAGGCCTTTTATTCCCAGCTTTTTTTTTGCACGTCTAACAATTTAAATGCTTATCTCAAAAAAGCTTGTTGAATTGGAAGGTCATCATTGGTTCTTATTTGAATTTAAACAGCACTTGAAAGTGAACTGAGGAGCTCAATACATTTTTAAAAATTATACTTTTGTTACATTTGAGTTAATAAAATATAATTGTATGAACTAGGCAGATAATATCGATCGCAGGCCCCTGAACTGAATCCAATGAAAATCGCATCATAGCATATTTTTAAATATCAGCAAACATCAGATCACTGGCAAAGAGAATCAATATAGGATCATATCGTGATGAGAGTGGCGATTTACTCCCCTAACTGCCATGCTAGTTTTGATTTTATTTTTCTATAGTATTTCTAAGTTGATTAGTTTCTATTTCATTCTTTTATAATGACTTTAGTTATTGTATCTTCATATATATTTACATACGTATATTTGTATGTTATTTGTTTCACTTGGAAGAATTTTAGCCCCCTGTGTTCCATGCATACTGTGAAATGACAACAAAGCCTCTCGAATCCTGAATCTTTTTATTTTTGGATATCTGCCACAATGGCTTTCTGATGCTACCACTGGGGGCCCCAAAGTCAAAAAGAAAAAACAAACTGACTGCAGAAGTATCCAAGTTATTTTATTTTCCATGGTCAGAAAACCTCTGAAATGAAACAGCTTATTTTCTATGCGGCCTTTCACCTACATCTGCATCAATGACATTTTCAGGCAGGAGGTGTAAGCAAATATTTTACAGTGGCCTCCAGAATTTAGAGTGAAATTAGCACTCTGACAAGCCACCATAGGAACAACTTCATTTTATGATCCATTTTTCAGCTCAGCTGTGAACATGATCACATCTCTGCAATGTGCAGTGACATAGTTACACGTCCACTGGTGAGTCAGGCTGACTGACAAACAGTGGCTCTACAGAATGCTTCTGAAACATAACACATCCAGGTTACCTGGTCGTAGTATTTGTTGATGTACTTGTAGAGCTCGTGCAGTGCGACTAGGTAGTTCAGCTCTCCAGAGTAGTTCTGGAACACAAAGCATTGGGGTCAGACATCACTCTATGTGTCTGTGTACTGGAGGTGTTTACACTGAGGCCTCTGAGCCGTGGCTGTACTCACCCTCGACAGCTCAGCCAGAGCAGAGTTCATCTCCTGGTCGCTGGCTGAGATAGTCTGCCTGATGTCTGCATAGTACCTGAAACAATACACCGCATCATCAATTCCACACACAGGGCAGTTTATAAATGTTTGGTTTCAGCTGTTTTGGCTTTTTGCCTTTAAACAATACTATAGAGACAGGAAACATGAGGAGCGAGAGGCATCTGATATGCAACAAAGGTCTTTTGGTCAAGAAACCAAACTTTGGATGTTACGGTTATGTGCGATGCAGCGCCACCGTTATGCTTCAGGGCTTAACATTGATCTCATATTGTCCAAGAAGCAGCGAAAAGATGAGTGTTTATAGTTAACTACAAACCCACCTTTCTACCATCTGCTTGTAGCGGGGGATGTCTCTGGCGTACAGCAGCTTGTTGATGGGAGAGTCCTGTTTAGATAGCAACAAAAGAACCAAATGAGAAGCAGATGTTTTAGAATGACTCCAAATGTTGACACCATTTGTGACAGTTGTAAAACACCCACAGCTGCTTCTTACAACAGCATTTAACCTTTCCTCCTTTGGAATCATCCTTTTGCCTTCCATCATTTGTGTGTATGAAATCATGCAGTGAACAATCACTTACAGTACGACAACACAAGAAGCAGACTGACAACCACTGAAACCTGTTTATAACAAAAATGTTATTTACTAGTATTTTCTACAGTAAGTTCTTTTTATTAAGTGTAAGAAGCTTGAAGTTGAAGTTGAGAAGAGGAAATAGTCAACAATATTCACAACAAAAGAGAAGAAACAAAAGCAGCAGCGTTCTCCTCACCCGTCCTAGTTTGTGCTCAGCAATGGTGCAGGAGTCCATGAACGTCTGGGCGATGACAGAGAGCACAGCATCCACGTGGTCTGAAGCCTGGACGTCAAATATAAACTGAGGGTTCTTCACGATGTTGATCCAGAAACGCAGAGGGAGACTGAAGAAACACAGCAGACAATCATATTACAGCTGCCTCACTCCTCAGACTAAGGTCATCATTCCACTGCCACCAGGAACCATTTCACCCTCAGGCCGCCTGGCCCCAACACACGTTTGTGCTGCCATTGCACAGCATGAGCGTTGTGCTTGCAGAGTATCTTATGTCTTCTGTGTGTCCAGAATGGACACTGACAGTTGAAGGGAAACAGGGCAAACATGGACGACAAACATAGCTGCTGCAGTGACTTCCTTTCATTGCTTTGTAAAGCAATGCCCCCCCCACTCCGCTCTGTGTGTGTGTGTGTGTGTGTGTGTGTGTGTGTGTGTGCGTGCGCGCGCACACATGCACCGAACCTGTTGGTCTTCCAAATGTGGATCGTCTCGGGGTCAGAGATGCCATGCTGTCCTGCCTGGTCGTCCAGCAGGTCAAAGAAGTATTTGACAGCCAGTGGGACAGGTCGGCTGGTGCTGAGGATCACTGTGAACAAGTCATCCACAAACTTCTGCAGTGTGCCCTGAGGAAGGAGGAAGGCAGTATGTTCGTCTGTGTGTCTGCACTTACATCAGTACCAGTCACAAGTCTGGACACACCTTCTCATTCAACGGGTTTTCTTTGTTTCTGTTCTTTTCTATTTTGTAGATTTATTCTGAAGATATTAAACTATGAAACAACGCATGGATTTGTGCAATAAGCAAAGAATGTTAAAGAAAAGAAGTGACATGACTCTCTCTGGCTTATCTAAATAAACCTGTAGCAGTTTTGTTTTGTCAGCTAGAAAAGAATATCACATTCTGGTGACATATTTGACAAGTCAGTGTTTTACATTGTTTCATGTACAAAAGCTGTGACAAGCTTAGTAAAATATCAGTCTGGTTGTTTAAATTTAATTTTACTGTTTTTTTTGCTCTGAACTCATGAATAGTTTCACATTCACTGACATGAACTGGACACCAAACACTGAGAACTGACTTAAAACTAGCTTGACAGCTGGAAGGAAGCTTAACGCGTGCATGTTTACCTTCATGGACAGCAGGCGGGTCAGGTAGATCTCAGGGATGGCCTTGGCCCTCTCTCGGTCCCTCAGGCTGCCTCTGCGGTGTTTGGGCAGTTCAGGCTCCTCGCTGGCTTTCACCAGATGCCACAACCTCACTCCACCTTCATCTGCATCCTCCAGCATTGGCGTTTCTGCACAGGTTCACATTGAGAAAGCTTTACTGAGCATCACTAATGGGCCACTATATACCATGTATAAGCTTGTCAATAATCTAACAACAGGAAATACCCAAAGGATGTTCAAGATGAGAGAAAATAAATATGAGATGAGTATATATGTTTAAAAAACAGAAAGTAAGAACAAATGGTAAAACAGATGTCTGGGGTCATTTTGTGCAATAAACTTAGTGAAGATTTGAACAATTTGACCATTTGAGTTATTTTTAACATACAGTATATAAATTGTGATATTTGAGTACTGGCTACAGTAACTATAGGTAAAATCAGCAATGGCTCCTGCCTACGCCTTTTGGCCCAGTAATGTGTACATAGTATATACTGTACTACTGTAGGTACTGCATTTTTTTCTGATTTGTTTGGCCCAGATAAACTAAACTAAATAAACTAAACTAAACCAGTGAGGCCCTGCTCTACCATCTTTTTATATTTATCAAATGAAAAGCTGAGTTAAAATTGAACAATAACCTTTTTTAGCATAATCACGTTGTAGTTTCACTATTTAATGTTCGAATGACTTGAAGAGACTCTAACCAACCCATTTACTTTAAACTGTGTTGATCAGTGTATTTAAACACTACAATTTCTCAAGCCAGGGAAATAAAATTCAAGTTTTAAATTCAGGGGAATTTTGTGAGATAAAAAAAAAAAAAAATTGGTTGACCCTAGTTATAGACAAGCAACTGGCGGCTGCCCAGTACAGTGCGAGCATCCCATTCCCACATGCGATCATTTCTGCTGCCTAGGTTTATGTTCAGGAGAGCAGTACAACAACAACAGAAACCTCACTGTTGTTGTCGTTGTACACACAAACAGGTGGCTAGTTTAGATTCAGTTTGGAGTTCAGGAGCAGAAAAAATTATTTTAGTTGGCAGAATGATGACAGTGTGGAGAAAATGATTTAGATTTAATTTTACACAGCACTGTTCTCATGTTGACTCACTCTCTCCAGCTACGTAGTCGTGGTTGTCGTGGTGAATGTGTTTGGTGTGGCGAGGCACAAGTGCTACTGTTGCACTGTCGGGGACCTGAACGACATAGAACATACAGTTACAAACCACCCCTATTCTTTTAGAGAGCAAAACACGTTGTGTTTTGTTTAAGAGGATGTTAATGAAGTGTGACCTCTGACCTTGTAGTGCTGAAGCGTGTTCAGGCGCTTCCAGCTGCCCTGGACCACAGATGTCAGGTCCTCGTCCGAAAGGATGAGATGACCGGCTACACCAGACCTCCACTCTGAACAAGAGACAGCAGGCAGACCATCAGCACAACGTGTGTGCGTAGAGGCTAAGTGTGTGTGTGTACTTGGGTGGCTACACACTGTGAGGGCCAGTTTCATACCATGTCAACTTCAGAGAGCAGACTGAGGGTTCAGACTTGGTTTTAGAGTTCACATTAGTAATAGCTTTAGGTTAAGATTAGGGGCTAGGGAACACATTTTGTCAATGAATGTCACAAATATTGAAAGTGTGTGTATATATACCTGTTGGTGCCATAGCAAAACAGAATGTATTTCCTAAATGTAAACATGTACAGTGGATTTCAGGCATGCACACTTTTGGGTGCTTTCTGGTGACAATATGTGTGAAAGACTGACCAAACTACAAGCACTTGAATATTGTCTTGCTGTAGAGGGCACCACAGATCAAATGTTAAAAAAAGGAGCCCTGAAAGTAAGTGCACAAATTCAGAATTTCTCTTACTAAGGTCGGTCATTTTCTATATTAACTGTATTGTCATCACTCCCCATACAGAGACTAAAACGAACAATGAATTGCCTCTACTCACACTTAGTTTCTGTCAGTGTAACAGTCCTGGATCTGCTTCTTTGTCTGTGCCATAGAGCTCCACTGTTGTTCAAAAACAATTAAAAACACCTCGGTGAAACACACCACTGCACTGGGTGACACATTTCTTCATTAGCAAACCCCAGGCCTGAGCATGACGAGCTACTGGAATGTAAACAAAGCAGGGAGCTCACGCAAGCTCTCGCACATGCACACTGGACTCTGACTCCTATTAACTTCAAGAAATTATGGCCGCTCAGAGCCTTTGGGGCAGCACAGTCGGGTCTGGGGTTTTGTCATGAAAAAACATCTCACCCAGAACAGCGGTATGTTTCACTGATTTTTGAACAACAGATATCTATCGCACAGATGAACAAGTTAATTCAGGACTGACACACTGACAGACATTAACAGTGAGTAGAGGCAACTCAGTGTGGGTTTTAGTCTCTGTATGGAGATTGCTGAAAATACTATTAATATAGAAAATGACCGACCTTATCCTTTAATAAATATGTGTGAAAAGCACATGCTCAAGTGTGTGATATGGATATGGATGCTCACCCAGGTCCAGTGAGTCGGCGTGGGGTCGGTGAGAGAAGGACGTGCCCTTGTACACCTGATCCAGCAGCTTCTCCTTCACCTGTGTGATGGTGTCACAATCAAGCACTTTGGAGGGTAGTGGCTGGGTCTCATTCACTCCTCCACCCTGCACCAACACGTTCAGAGTCTGCCAGAGACATAGAGAGAGATGAGAGAATAGTAGATGAACAAGTGAAAAAAATGCAACATGCTTCAGAGTTGTGCTGGACATCTGCGATTCTGTCATTAGATGAAAACATTCATGTCATCTCTCCTCACCAGGGTCTTGTACTCCACATCCTCTCGCAGCAGGCGGTTGTCATTGAGGGTGTACTTGGCCTTGCCAGTCACAGCATCCACTGGTCCTTTATCTACCTGGTGCTTTATGGCCCTGAACAGCATGTAGAGAGACTCCCCTGCTGAGTCCTACACACACACACACACACACACACTGAAGTCAGTTATTACTGGCCTAACACACACTGCAGAAAACAGGGGAGGGCTCAAATGACTCAGTAAATGCTCAAATGAATTAACTCTATACCCTTTAAACCTGTGACTCACAACCCTGTGCTGTTGCTGTGTCTGTGCACTGTGACCTGCACATTCCTCTGCTATTTCAATGTTACACTAAAGTTATACTTTTAGGACACCCAGAGGACAGGTTACCTTCCATATATTGTAACAGCATGACAGCCTTAACACTTTCCAAGAACTAACACCTGACTGACATTTGTACAATGTAAATCCATACAAACCCACTGTTCCACCTATTAAAAAGTGAGCTTCCTCATTTCACAGTCTTTCAGTTCTACTTCTAGCTGACTGTATCTGTAAATGAGAAGTGTTTTATTTTGTGGTTGCAGCAGAAATATCGCCTTATGTGCTGACTGACCCTGAGGAAAGTATAGAGGCAGATGGACATCCAGTTGGTCAGCAGCTTCTCCACCACCGTCTCCGTTCTGCACAGAAAAACCACACAGAGCTGTACCACTGCAATAAAGCATTTAAAACACCAGAAACTGACAAGTACACTTTTCCTCTCCTCCTTTTTCTTACCGTCGCAGCATCAGTTTGGGGTTCTTTGCAACGTATTGTTCCACCAGGTCATTCAGGAGAGTTTTGAGAATGTCGGTGAAATACTCCAGTTTGCCATGAAGCGCCACAGTGAGCAGGGAGGCCACGTAGGCCCGGTCTCTGGGAGAGAAAGTCCGCTGGCTCTCCAGAGTGTGAATAAACTGGAAGAGACGAGAAAGTTACCCCTCTGCTCAGAAGTCTCTACAGAGCTTCATTTTACACTTCACACTGATGGTGACAAAGACCACCTTGGTGAGGAAGAGCTTGCTGTTGAGCAGGTTGGACAGCTGCACCAGGCCCTGCTCCACCGTCTGGCGTCGACACTCCTGCACGTCCAGGTCTCGCCTCAGTGGAGACTCTCTGTGGCCCGGGAAGAAAATGCGTTCTGCGTACATCCGGTAGTCAAGGAACGGGATGCCTGAGCCCACCAGGTCACTGGACATGTCCATCATCTCTGTCATCAGGTCTGTGTCAGGGTGAATGCAGAGGGGTCAAAGGTCATGAGCTGTTGCTCTGCTTAAGCCTGGAGCATCTTCTAGATACCATATTTAAAGTTTGAGTTGGGAGCTACCCTGGCAGGGAAGGGCTGGTAAATACTGACATTAGACCATGTTCCCCCTCCACAGCCATGTGGGATGTGAGGAACACTGCATGTATGATGCCAGTGTGAAAACAAAGTGGAGCTGTTGGCGTCCACAAACTAAAACAAACTTTCTTGCTCATCTGTCTCAGTGTTGCCATGTTGCTCCTTTCACACTCTTACCTGTGAACTCTTTCTTGCAGCGGTCTCTCACACTGGTTTCCAAGTTCTCCAGCTGGATCTGGACCTTCTTGTAGTCCCTTAAGGCCTGCTTACTCTTTCTCCTGATAGACACAAAGTGGAACACAGGGTCAAACGTGGATAAAGGAGAGAGAACAAGTAATACTAGTTTCACACCAGATTAGTGGAAATCCACTTGACTGAAACAGTGTGAGCCAACAAACCCACAGCCAGCAAGACTAAAGGCTGATGAAACTGGGTTAGAATGGAAACACTGCCTGATGTCATTGCAACTGCATCACATTGTGACACAAAAGTAAGAATGTCATGTTTGAAAGAGTTAGTAACATTGTTTTTTTTTTTAATTATGAAAACATGAATGAAAGGAAAAAAGCTCATTTGAGTTCATAAGCAGTGAAACACCCCCTGCTCACTTTGGTGCTCTCACAGCTGCTGCAGATGTATTTGGGCTGGTCTGACTAGGCAGGTGTTCTTTGTACATCGCTAAACAAATCCTAGATTAAATGAGCAACCCTGGATTTTCTAATGCCAGCTAACGTTATCTGGATATTTCGGTTCATCAACCCTCACCTGTGTTATGGATTAGGAAACCTGTCATCCTAGATATGTGCACGCTCTTGTGGTTAGTAACTAGATGATATATATCAACAGCTGAAACCAAGATTAGCGGCTTCTTTTCATTTAATCGGAAAATAATACCAAAAATGAGAAAAAGTGTTTTGAGTTCTCTCACAGGCAGGAACGAGTTTTCAGATGGGTGCTGTTGTGAAAAAATTTGGAGGGGGCTTGTCACCCTCATCCCTCATACAGTAACCGTCTTGATTAATACTGTGTGGAGGACTTGAAAGTCAATATCTAGGCTACTTAAAAAACTTTAATAAAAATAAATAAATAAATATAATAACATCTTTGCTCCACATCTTCAAGATGTGGAGTATAGGGTATACAGCTAATTAAAACTGACCAAACTTTGAGATCCAAATTAAACCTCATTAATTCCATAGGCTAACTACTACTACTAATTTATTACTTGCTAAAATGTAGGAATTTAATTCTGTTTGGTTTACGATTCATCTGTTATCCCATGAAAAGTTGCTATGAGAGGGTGCTGATGAGGTGTCGAAGAGGTCCCTGACACTTGCTGATGTGAAATCAAATCCACACACAAAAGTCGCACAAAGTAACACGTTGAAGCAGCTCATGAGCCTTGATAATAAATATTATCCACGTCCCGATCAATCATTTTACAGGCATTATTGACAGCAGGTGAAGTCACCCAGAGCGCTGCACAGTTTGTGGGCTGCTGTCACTCACTTCAAGCAGTGGGGAGTGGAAATGGTACGATCCACTTGGTAAACTGCTGTGTACTCGTTCTGGTGCACCAAGCAGCAATTTTTTATTTTAAATTGATTTATTTTTAACAATCTCTCAGTCTCAGGGACTGGGAAAGGTTATATGAAATGCACCAATTTGAATTAAAACACAAAATAAAATAGAAAAATACATAACAGTTTCAGCCATTTAGAGGTAGCACCATTACTTCCCATGGTTATGTTCACAGGTCAGTGATGATTATGAGGACTTATTCTGCCAGTGGTCACTGTCAACATGAAGGACAATCACACCCACTTCTTCTCACAGTGAATCCATTCATCATTCTTCCCAGCATTTTTACAGCTTATTGCACAGAAGTGTGTTGCATCATTTCTAAGGTCTGACAAAGCATCAGCACTGAATGACAGAACCTAAGGTTGGCACATATTTAAATGTGATTTGCTCACATGCTGTATGTAAAGCATTTTTCTGGATAGTCATCATCACATTCATGTTGTTAACATAGATGAAAAATGAGACTATACAAAGTTAGTGGAGCTGATTATTGTTGTTGTGCAAAGTTGTTCTTTTTTCCTCTTTGGCCACACACTGGCCTGACTGATAAGTGTATCACGCTGGTGCACAGTGAAAGACAGAAGACGTCCAGCACAATAGCCCTGCATGTTGCATCTTGCACCGTTCAACTCTGACTTAGTGCCATGTTAACAGTGTGAGGGAACTGTTACTCGTACTGACATTGTAGGGTTGGTGTTTTGCTTTTATGTTGAAGTGATCTGCTTATTCAGACAAGAAGCCATGCTAACATGTTAAACTGCCACCACACTCACCTAATGAGGCAGCTGTTTGCAAATGGCTTTAAATGACAATTTCTTCTTAAAAGGGACTGATGACTGATTATTACCAAGGACTAATTGTCTCCATGTCATCAGAAAATTGCTCCATAGTGCTACTAACAGCTCCACAGGGTTCCTTTAATATAACTACAAATCTAGAGATTGTCATTTTCTTGTTCTATACTTAACTACACAGTGAGTATACACAAACAAAGACAGTCCACTGACCTGTAGATAAGCACGATGATGAGAACAATGAGGGCCACAATGGACGCCCCGACTCCGACTCCAATCTGAGCCTCCAAGGGGAAGGTGGACATGCTGAGGTTGTCATACTGAACCTTACCAAGAGAAAAGTTGAGGTTTCCCATTTGGACCTGAAACACACACCACACACAGCCTGTAACAGAGCAGTAAGGAGCTTTGATGGCGGTGTGTTTCCAGGTGCTCACGCAGTCCCCACACAGACTGTTCTGTGGCTTCACAGTGAAAGCAGCTGAACTCACAGTGAACTCAGGAAGGTTGTCAGTGCCCTCTCGTTTCTTTCCACTGGGCCCTGGTGTGGGCTGCTGGGGTGGCGGCTCACAGTACAGATGGTTTCTGGTCAGAGTCTTGACAGCACACACCCCCTCGCCAATCAACACCACCACCTCCTCTTTAGTGATGGCTAGGTCCAGGTTTTCTCCCTGTAAGTGGAAGAGATTCCTGCTTATGTTTTGTCTACTTTAATGTCTCATGTTAACTGCCGTGCAACAATATAAGGAAACGTTCACACAGAGGGCATAATGTACGTAGTGGGCATAATAATGTAAATGGATAAATTTGTTACATGGACCACAAAAGAAGCAAGCGATTCAGCGCAAGCAGACAAAGAAATAACAGGCAGTAAACCTTATCAACCAAAAAGCCAGCTGAAAAGGAAATATGATGAAGCCTATCTTGCGCTTGGATTCACGGTGTGAATGGTGGGGGCAGGAGAGGGACCCATGTGTGTCTTAAACCGCTGGCAGTAGACGGCATGAGACCCAACAAATTAAGAAGACATTTAGAGACAACACACCCCAGTCAATTGCTTAGCAGCTCATTCTCTCTGTAACTGTAGACATGGTGCCAATTATGCTGGATGAAACAAGTGCTGCAAAATTGAAAACTATCCCCCTGTCAAACGATACAGTTGCACTTATATTTTATCCGTTTTCAGCTTAGTGTTATTTGATATTTCAATCAATTTGAAATTTTAAAATTGGCCAATTTCATTATAATTTTTTTGACAAGTGGGGCTTGAAAATTCGCCCACCCTCTTAAGTGGGGAACAACAAAAAATGTTTGAGAACCACTGAGTTAGCACAACTAAGCCTGTCTACCACTGCCACTCCCCTGACCTCCAGCTGGATGAAGCTGCCAGGGTTGTAGCGGTAGGCCTTCAGAGGGTCCTGCTGGTTCAGGCGGTGCAAGATGGGGTTGGGCTCATAGCTGAAGGCCTGGGGGTTCACACTGCTGAAGTCAAAGCGCAGATTGTCCAGCAGAAACTCCACTGTGACTTTTGACCTCCAGACAGAAGAGTCCACCACTGGAGAGCGGCACAGGATCAGGGAGGAAGAGTTCACCTCACAGTGCTCTATGAACTGATGAGACAGGGAGGGGGCAGAAAAGCTGCTTGGTGAAGGAGGTGGCTGTTCGATTTTCATCATCTTATAAAACAAAACACACACACACACACACACACACACACACACACACACACACACACGCACACACACACACACGCACACACACCTCTCTGACACTGCAGAAGCGGTCTCCAGGACAGACAGGGTCAGGAATCATCCTGACCAGCCTTCCCTTTGTCCTCTCTCTCCCCTCCCTCTGCTCTGCACTCCTCCTCCGCCTCCTCCTCCTGCTGCTCTGGGGGACTGACCCAAAGGGAGTGACCGTCACCACCATCCGGGGCTCCTGCACCACGTCCAGATTGTGGCCTGACACGTAAATCAGCCGACCACCACTAAAAAGAGAAACCAGTCTTAAAATTCACAGCGCTTCTGTCTTTGACAGCTAACCACTTCCTACATAGGGAACAAGTGGTGAAAGTCAGACTCACGCCAGAAAGCTCTTGGCTGGTGTGGCATGGGTGATGTTGGGGTTGTGGGTGTACTGGTAGGGTAAAGCATGGAGGTGACGCTGGCTGCTGCCGTAATGCAGGGTGACTCTGTGATCTCCTGTCTTATTACTGCTGCCAGTCACACACTGGACACTGGACCTCTGCACTTCTGAAACACTGAGGAGGAGGCACACAGAAGAGACAGGTCAATAAATAATTCAAGTCTTCCCCCTCTAGCACAGAGGATTCAGACCAACTACGAGAGAAACCGAGTGATAGGAGCATCTGCATTAAACCTGGTTTTGGACCAACACACCAATAAAATCAATGAAACGCGCACGTGTGTGGATGTCTCACATGTTGCAGGGCACCCCTCCCACAGTAATGGTGAGGTCAGACATTCGGCCCGTCAGCAGGTTTCGGCCAGTGATTATCAGGGTCGTTCCTCCGGCCATGGGCCCCCTCTCAGGTGATACCCCAATGACAAAGGGGTCCTGAGAAGACAGAGAGGATGGAAATAAAAGGTAGTTCCAACTGCATCAGCCACACTGATACATTATTAAGGCAAGGCAAGTTGACATAGTACATTTTCAACACAAAGGCAATTCAAAGTGCTTAACACAATGCACACAGATGGATAACACATTAAAAAGCATATATAGACAAAACATTAAAATGCAAATAAGATAAATATTACTTAAAAGCAACAACTACAACTAGTATTTTTAGGATAGCTGTGGCAAGCTGTGGATTCTCACTGTTCTCAATATACTTGTAACCAGAACAAAGGACAGATCTGCTTGTAATTTTAATTAGGCACTGGCTTTTCACTAAAGCGCAGCCAAAACATCAGCAGGCCAATTTTATTGGTCAATTTAAGCTATTTGCAGCTAAACTTCTATCAGTGTTTACAACAGCTGAGAAGTAACAAGAGATTTAAATAACAGAAAACCAAAGACTATCTCATTACCAGTGTTTCTGTTGGGTAGCTTGTCCACCAGAGAGGACTGCAATTCCACACTTCTTCCCTAGCTGGCATTTGTAGATCTATGTCTCTGTGGTCAGGGGCTCATTTGCTCTTGTAATACATTACGCCCCTCCTTTGTATAATGCTGACAGCAGTTGTGTCAGCTGTGTAGGCTACAGCTCACTGACAAATCCGATGTTATTTTGTGAAATAGTTAATAGGACACTTTCCTCGAGTAAATGAACAACAGCCATATTATTTTCTCTCTCATCAGTACAGCACTGCCAGGCTCTATAAAATACATGCTTGCAGTTTATCTGCTGATAAAATACTCAGTTATAAAGGCTGCAACTGTGGAGGACAGCTAATGAGCTGTTAGTGCATAGCATTATACTGCTTAAATGATGTCATGGGAAATTTATTCACATCTTCCATGTGAGTACAGTTACAAAATGCAGACTGGGAACATGCCTGGCACGCACCAAAAATATTATACCTGGAGTTTCAATCTAAGACACAGTACTTTTCAGGGTTAATGCTAACCCACTTGGCTAATGTCTGACTATCATATTTCAAACAGCTGGCTAGAAAGTGGTTATAATAGTGGAATTACTGCACCAGCTATCCTTCACTAACTAAATGTAAATGATCCTTATCATAGATCTTTGAATATGTTATGTTTTTCTATTTAAAATAAATATTGATGTATTATTAATCAGTTTTTAAACCATTAAATATTGACAGTGGTATTAGTCTTAAAAATCTTTTAATGGCTGGGTTCTCCTTTTCACATCTACTGTGCTAAAGAGTTTAACATGTTTGCATATGAATATATCTTTGGCACTGGAAAAAAAATCTGAAATATCTGACCACACCTAATGGAAGGAGGGAAGATGTTCTCTGTTTCCTGTCTCTCAAATGTGCTGCTTTTCTCTGTTTTATATCATTGTAAATTGCATTTTGGGATTTTTGAATTTTGCTCAGTTGCTTCTTGTTTTTACCATAAGTTGTAACCATTTGCTGCAGCAACAATCCAGTTTTCACAGAAGGACCAACAAAACCCATTCTGTACACTAACTACACTGAAGCTGATGTACCTGGTAGCTGAATGACTGGCTGGACAGTCCAAACTCTCCTCTGCTCACCCTGACAGAGACAGGGCCCTCCTTCTCTCCTCCACTGGGTTTGGTCCTGCACACAATCCTGGAAGAAAGACATCACACCTGGGTGGGTTTTTAAACCTGGACATGTACCCTGGCACTGTGACTGTGTCAGTGCTGAACTGAGCAATATATGACAAGTGAAACACTTTCCTTTTCATGTTGCTATTCACTGATTCTACAGTAAATTATACAAGGGCTCAATGGTACTACAAAATCTACTCAACCAACAAAGGGCTCTGCCAATGTGACATCAAACAAACAGAGCAACAGCTGATGTGTACCTGGAGGAGACCTCATAGAGGCTGGGGATGACGGTGCAGGCCACCCCAGCTACTAACACAGAGTGGAGGATGTCTTCAGCCTTCTGGCCCAGGTTGGAGCCTGAGATGGTCACCATGGTGCCTCCCTCCAACAAACTGGAGAGCGGCTCAATCTGAGGGGAAGCAGGAAATCGGTCAGTTGAAAAGAAACTTTCAGGGGCGTTGTTTTTCTATAAGCATCTGAAATGCTGCATTATGTGTCTCCCACAGTCTCATCATCCAGAAGTAAGTGAGAGGTCACAGGTCAGTACTCACAGAGCTGATGACTGGCGCAGGACATGTCTGCTGTACAGGTTCACTGCAGGAGTCTGAATACAAGCAGCTGGCCTGACCACTGCCACACCACACACAGGCATACTTCTGGTCAGCTGTGTGGCAGCGGCTGCAGTCCGATCGGCCCACAGAGCAGTTGTACAGAGTCACTGAACGTACAGAGAAGTGTTACATGTGCTTACTTGAGTGTAGTTATCGAGTTGTTGTTGGGTTTTTGGAGAAAAATGGGGATAACAGACACTGAGAGCTGCTGAGAGAAATACACTCGCCAGCCACTTTATTAGGTACACCTGTACAATTGTATGCACTTCAGTGCAACACTTCCACCTTATCTGTGTTTATGAAGCTCAAATGTTTCAGTTTTTGGTGAAATTGTCGCAAATGTATAAATTCAATTATATGTTTATTATTGAGGTCATAGTTAAAGGTGGTGTTGTACTGAGCTACATTATATTCAGAGACGTCTCTATACTTTTGCCCTCCCCAGTGTCAGAATATTAGGAACACCTATAAATAAATAAACTAAATGTTGCCACTACTCACTGGCCCCCGGTTTCATTTCCATAGTACGTTCACTGTTATTCTTTCCTATATAAGTTTTATTTATCTGATAAACACAGGAAAAAAAATCTGTATTCATAAAACAGCAGTACCACACAAAAACTGTTAGCATATGCATTCACTGCCTGCGGTTTTGCAGTCAAGGCTAAATTTAGTTTTTCACTCAGTGTTTTCAATACACAAATAGGCTGGTTAATACTACTAAAATGTTTTTGTCAAGTTGCAAGTTTCTGGGCAGAGTCTTTGGGGATTTAGCTTTGAAATATCATCTCTGTGATCTTCACATACTGTACTACACCCTCAGATCCTGGCATGTATCTGTGGTTTTAGCCTCACATTACTACAGTTCACTGTGCTTTTATCTGGAATTAGTAGCTAAGCCTGCCTAAGAGTTGCCCACCTGCCTGCTTAAAGCATATCACAGTGAACCCCTCTGCTGTCATCATCCACCTACCCATCAAATTCACAACCACCCCAACACATTCTCAATCACCCACTCAAAAGCAATAACACACACAGGCTTTGAGTGCATAAAATCTGATATACACACAAGGGTGCGCACACACTTCACTCAACAGCTACATTCCAGGTGGGTTAGCTAATTTAATTTTTTGCATTTAGTGGCTTGGGTCTCCTTTGTTCTTGACCTCGTTGCTGTTGGTCGTCACCCCCTGCCAGGAGGGCCTCCCTGCCTGCCTATTTATAACTGGGCAGGAGACGGATAACACTAAACACAGATCCCAAATCTGAGCATCTGCTAGCCATCGTTCCATTTTCAATAATTTCACCAAATCAATACATACAAGCAAAGATAGCCCCTCTATTGACAGGCAAATGGAGGACGAGTGCTGCAGGTTAAACAGGATAAAATGTGGCTCCACCAGAAAAGAGAGTTTTGCGATGTTGACACATCCTAACATATCAACTCTTTGTATGCTGGTTTTGGATGACTCATGTCCTAACATGAAAAGCAGAAGGCTTATAAGTGTCATTACCTAGAGCCCTCTCATAAACAACACAAATATTTTTAAAAGGAACTATGAAAAATACAGCACATCCATGAAACCAGGTTGTTCAGGCTTATGCGCTCCTGTTGATATGATCACAGTACATCAAGATTGTGAAACATCAACATGACTTATCCTCCTACACCCCATCCCAAACATCTGTATCTGACCATAAGGTTATAGTCATGACAGGTACTGAAGTGCACAGCATTAGCTCACATGGTGTATGCAAAATCCCTGTCAAAGCTGCTGCCCACACATCAAACTGGGCCTACTGCAACTGTCAGATAACATCTGTTAATCTGTCCTCTGTATTTCTGTACTCTCTCTTTTTCTCCCTTTCACACTTACTCTCTTACACTGTAGATCTGGATGTAATTTTCATTACAAGAACTAGACTAATTGTAGAGAAATCTATAACTTTAAGTCTTTTATATACCATCATACAAGATGTGATCAAGGCTATTAAAATATTTGTGTTACACACGCAGTTTGCTTTTCCCTGTACACATGCCACTCAGCATGAGTAGGGCTTTCAGATCTGCAAAAATGTCAAAAATTCTGTGTTTTTCTGTCAATATGGGGTGCTGTGTGTACATTAATGAGGAAAAAAATGAACTTAAATGATTTTAGCATATGGCTGCAATATAACAAAGAGTGAAACATTTAAGGGGGTCTGAATACTTTCTGTACCCACTGTAGTACAATCAAATCCAAGTCTTGAATAAACATTGTCCTCACCATACAGACTGGTAGAGCTGTCCACATGGAAGGTGTCCCTCCTCTTCACATACACCATGGCATTGTACGCTTCCACTGGAGCTGAATATGTATACTGGACCAAAACCAACAGCTTCATTTAAAGAAATACACTCAACTCTTATTTTTTGCACATTCAAGTATAACACAACAAAATGTCAGAGTGAATGACTGCACATTATCAGACCTGGTGTAGTTGGCAGGTTATGTCAAAGTATGAAGGATTGGTGTCATCAGGTTCCACGTATGCATCCACCACCACGGTCTGGCCCTCGATGACCAACACACACTGATAGTCCAGCTCTGGGTCCTGTCACACAAAGCTCTTGTTAATCATTTCTGACGTGCGTCGATGCTGAGAACGTGTATGTGTGTGTTTGCTGTACCTCATAAAGGTGCAGGTTACGGGCCAGTAAGGTGATCTTCCTCTCCACTCTGACAGGGAGCAGGGATGAACCCTGGACCTTTTCCACACACGGACAAGCTGAGGAACCCAAGCTGACAAAGGAGCCCTCATCCCCCTGTAGTTTGACACACACAAGTATAAACACACAAGTTCTCTCTCCCTCGCCCGCTGGTTACCTTTTGCATACACACACATTTTCTCCTGATCCAGTGAGGCAGCACGGTGATGCTGCAGATTAAACTGACCATTTACTGTTTACATTAAAGACACTATGTGTAAATCTAGAAAGCCACTAAGATGGAGATAGGTAATACTTCCCTATTAGAAGATATGGAAGCATCCAGTCTTTCTGTTTACCACAGATTTTCATGTCTGTTAAGGGGGAGCTATTTACCTTGTTTTTATTACACCCTACTTCCAATTATTTTGATAGTGAAGATAAAATTAAGTTGAGGTTCAGCCAATAGACTGATCAGCTGTCATGTTACATGAATAGGCCAGTGGCTCCCAAAGTGGGTGCTGCAGCACCCTGCCTTGGCAAAAGGTCAAGGGCGTAGCAAGATAATCATTGCTTATTTATTGTGAGTTTTTAATAACATCTCACCATATTAAGAACAGCAACATTTACATTAACTATGTTCAAATTAAAAGAACAAAATAACCCAATATACATCAAAATTAGTGAAGTAAACACTGTTTAATGTGCAGGTATTCCGCAGCTAGTGACAACTTACTGTCGTGTACTTACAGTAACAACTGCCAGTTGTCATAATAATATAACACATTTCCAGCTTGGGAGTTTTTCAAGTTGAGCAAGCGATAGAAAGAGTTGGCATGGAAAACAGAGCTCAAAGAAACACTGATACATGTCTAAGATCGGCAGAATCTGAGCCCAAAAATGAAATTATAAACTCTATTTCGAGAAAAGTTGGGGCATTTTCCAAAATACAATAAAAACTAAAATCTTATTTAATTTACTTGAACAGTTATTTAACTACCAAAAGTCCAAAGAAAGGTTTTTCATTGTTTTCACTGACTAACTTAATTGTATTTTGTAAATATAAACATATTTAGAATTTAATATCTGCAACAGACAAAAAAGCAACAGGCCTATATTATTTAATTCTATACTGACATAACATATTGTAATACCGTTACACACTGTGTAACATAATACTGCTGTATTGGGTTGCTTGGGGTACCTTTGACAAAAACACAGGCTTTGTAAATGGACAGTATTTTTACATTGTAATTCACCTACAGTATGTCTTTTGTATGCTATTTATTTAAAAGTTCTCTTTGACACAATGTTACTTTTATTGTGTTATTTGTGCTTTAACTGCAATTTGTCTACACAAAAAACAACTGTTCCAGTTCACAGTCAACCAGATGTTTTTCCTGGGCAAAGCAAAACAACAAAAGGAACACAGGTGTCAGACAGCAGAGGAGGAGCAGGTGAAACAAGTGAAAATTGGGAGGCCAGTTTCAGTTTTGTTCCTATAGCAGGAGCGCAGAGTCCAGTAAGGAGCTGGGAATGCTGGGAGGCTGCTGAAGCTTTAAGAAGTAGCAGAAAAAGAAGGGGGACAGAAGGAGGTGGCTCAACTCACCGGGAGGAATGCATCAGCTGGATCATATTTGTAGTCCAGCTCTGAGTCAGTGTCCAGCAGGTGGGGGTAGGATGAAGGGTCAACCTCACCATCACCCGATAACACAGTGGCAGCTGAAAACGTAGCTGTATCATTTTCGGGCTGAGCAGCACCTTCGACGTGGATGTCTACTTCTTCCTTTAGCCAGACTAGCACCTCAGGGTGGGTGTATGGACTTCCAACCCCAGTCAGAGTGTCTTGTGTTGTCATTAGTGTAGGTGTCTGGGTCAGCTCCAGGTAGAGGGAGGGCTCAGAGTCTCCTGGTTTGCCCACAGGGAAAGGCGTGGGCAGGGGGAAGCCAGGTGAGGCCAGGGTAGGAAGTTCATCTAGGCTCAGTGCTCTCTCAGCTTCCTGGGGTTTGCTGGGGGACGAGTCAATCAATACCTCCTGGGGAAAGGAGTCCGGAATCAACAGAGGCATGACAGAGTGCAGATCTCCACTGAGACCCTCAGCCAGGGTAACTGGCTCTGCAGGCCTTGTGACAACACTGAGTGTAACTGTAGCGCCTTCAGCGGCACTCTGGCTGACAACGACAAGCTCTCGTGCATCAGACTCTGCCTCCTGTCTAGTAATGACCTCTGGAGGTGGAGGTGTGGTCAGTGCTGCTGTGGCATGTGGCAGGGTGCTGGTAGGCTGGGGGCGCAGGGTGGTGGCTGGGGGGGACAGCTCAGGGCTGGTGCTGGTTGTGGGTGGAGTACTGAGCACAGGAGCAGTGGCCAGCTCCTGGGTGGTGGCTATGCTGGTGGGGGCTGTGGTGGCTGTTGTTGTGGCGACAGTTGACGTTGTCGTGGGAGAAGCTGTGGTGGTTGTCACAGTCATGCTGGTAGTTACCGGGACAGGCGGTATGGTGCTGGGTGTTGTCATGACTTGAATGGGTTTGGTTGTGGGAGGAGCTGAGGTGGGGAGTTTAAACTGAGACAGAGGGGTGGGGGGACATGAGGAGAGGGTGAGACAGAAACAAAAACTAATGGACAAAGGAAAATGAAAAGAACCAGTAACTTAAAGGTGGTGTTAAAAACCTAACCTGATGTGATTGTTGCTATTGATACAAGGGACAACAATGATTTGGTTACCAAGTATGTTGGCTGACTGGCAAATGAGGGACAACAAAACATTTAGGAGTATTATTGAATGTATGTAAGTGAAGCATTTATTTTTGTTTGGTACATGACTGACTTAAATGAGTGGTTGTGTTGTGCAGCAGTTGAATGAAGAGGAGAAGATGTGCATTAAAGATATCATTGTACATTTTCTCTGCCTCCTTAGCATCTCAACTTAAAAGTACCCTGTGAGGTTTTGAGCGAGTTCACAATTTGTTTGCATCTCGTGCAAACGACACACGCACCCAAGTGTGAGGCGATATGCATTTCTGTCAGTGTTACACTTTGTTCCACAAAACCATGCTTGCTTACAACAACTCTCCACAGGGTATCTTTAGGAAACATAAAATTCCCAACTTTTCTGGTCAATACACTGCAGTTCTTTGGTTCATGGGTGATGAAGTTAGTGTCACATTTCCCAAAGAACTGAACAGATGAAGAGCACAAGTCTCCACAAATGTTTCATATGGTGACTGCGGAATATATTAAACTCAATGATTTTGTGTCTAAATCTTTGTGTTTTACACCTCAGTGAGTGCTGTTCCATCAGCTGTCTGATGTTGTGTTGTAAACCTACATGCTGGTTGTAGATGATCACCCCCTCCTCACAGGTGGGCTTGTGGGTACACATGTGCTGGTGGACGCACCAGTTACAGCCCCATTGGCTCAAAACACAACCATGGCAACTGCAGAGAGAAGTAACAGAATGTACAAATTAGAGACAATGTAATGGCCTGTGTAGACAGACTTGCAGCAGGGGGGAGGTAAACACCGAGTCAGGGTTAGGAGCCACAAGGAGAGAAGTGGAGTAGGAATAGTGTGGGAGTTTTATTTAGAAGTTAGAAACGGGACAAGAAAAGGATGGTAAAGGCAAAATAGAATAGTTACTGTAACTTCTACTGTAAGGAAATTATTGCCCGTCTATCCCGGTGAAAGGTCAGTGGTCTAAATGAGTTTTCTATCAAATTGGTAGGATGAGACAGAGGGAGATGCTGATGAGGGAGCATGTGTGGCAATAATGTGATGCAGGTCAGGCAAGATACAAAACATGTATTCAACAGACGCTGGTGTTGAGAGGGTTTAACATTTGCATCTGATTGGCCACTTTTAGTTGGCTGTTTAGCTGGTCTGGTTTAGGTGTGGCTAGCTTGGCAAAAAGGCTGCTGCTCCATGTGTTTAGTCACCAGCTTTACAGTTAAGTGACAATCCTTTTAAATGCTCCTCTGTAACTGACTGAATCTACCAAGGCCAAATCAATCAAACAAATAAATAAATTGTAGAAAAACATCTACATAGTTTTGATTCTAAAAATAAACTTAAAGGTACAATGCTTTGTCTTTTTCTATTTCATTTTAATTACTGAACTAAAAATACTGTATGTTGATATACAGTTTATTCAGTTACTAGTTTTGAGGCTTCCATATTCACTGAATGGTAAATTGGTAAAGAAAACAAACAAAAAACTAAAAAGAATACATATTAAAGCAAAGTTTAAATCAGTCAAAAAGAAAAGGAAACACTGTGCACTGGTAAATGCAAAATGAACAGTCAGAAAAAATAATTGTCAGCCCACAAAAGAATTTGATCAAGGTTTCTTTTCTTCATTAGCATGAGCAACATTTTCACATGGTAATAAATGAAAGCTGCCCATAAACAAAGAACATGTGGCCTTCTAAGACAGTTTTGGGGACAGTGATTATACTGATGATGAAATCTCCAAAATGTGCACATCCTCCTAAACAGGTGGTACTCAGCCTTACAAACATGTAGTTTAAAAAGCTTAGTGAATCCAATGTGGAACACTGAGCAGAAAAGTAAGGGATTTAAGACAAAAGGCCTGATGTCGACCTCCTGTATCCTGATCACAGCCAGTCAGAAGGTTACAGTGCAGCGTACAGATAAACCTAGGCTCAAGGAGCCATGTGATGAGCATATGTAGAGATGGAAACATTGGTAAGAGAGTGAAGGGCAGTGGCCAGGTGCCTGCAGCCGACATGGGCATACTTTCTTGATACATACTGTAAACTGAGATAAATGGACATGAAAGAACTTCTGGATGAAACTATTTAGCATACGAGATCACAGGAGAAGAATTAAATGTAGGAGAGCAAGTGACAAGAAATGGAAAACAGAGATAAGAAAACAGACTTAAGACTGATGGGCAGCTGGTGAACTGATGAAGGACCAAAAGGACAGGCTCAGGTAGAGAATAAGACCAGAAGTGATGGATCATCAGCGGTAACTCACGGCATGCTGCCAGACAGTTGTTTAACAGCCATGCAGTCGTAAAAGGTGAAATCCCTCGCTGTGACGGTGATGTCACCAAAACGAAGAGACAAGGTGACTGTGACAAAGTCTGAGGAGAACAAAACAGAGAGAAAGAGGTGAAAACAGCAGGTTAATGTTGTGGTTGGCCTCAGCACAGGTCTGAGCGAGCAGGGCTCGGTAAACATTTGATCAGGCTTATTGTCTCTGAATAATAATAATACTGTCTGGGATGCATATGCTGTTCCTCAGAAGACAGTGAGGGAATGTGGGAGAAGCTCTGGTGCAGACAGCAAAAACACAGAGGCCTAATAAAACCCATGTGCACCTCCATCTTCAGCCCACAGAGAGGCTTTATCTTTTTGCCTGCTTGTTTGATTGACATGTTTCTTGCCTCACTGTGTTCAAACACAAATCTCAGCAAGTAACTTTGTGAAAACAATGTTATCAGTAACAGAGAGGATAACCACCTAAACACACACCAACACACACAGGTTCTCATAATTCTATTCTGTAATTTCCCAGGATTACTATTACAGCTTCCAGTCTTCTTGTGCTTGGGGTTCTGCCTATAGTGTCTCCTCAGAGGCAGTTCTCCATCTCTGCAGACAACTTCTGAAGCTTCTAAAGAGACCACTGGTTTCTCGGTAACCTCCCTGACCAAGGCACTTCTTGCCCAGTTACTCAGCTGGGCTGTAGTTCCACAGTCATTGAGGCCACTGCACTCCTGGGAACACTCATAGCTCGAAAAGCTTTTATACCCTTGTCCTGATCTGTGCTTGCTACCATTTTATGTAGGAGGGTGACAGAGAGTTCCTTGGCTTGGTATTAGACTGTGTTAAAGTTTGATACATCTACTAAATAGCTAACTGAGTGTAGTCTATTCCTTGGCTGCCTGACTACATGTCGGTAGAGATTTTAGTGAAACATTGTCTTTGTATTCAGGAAGTGCACACTGTCTTCACCCACCTGCCATGGTTCAAGGTGCATTCATACAGTCAGTCCACAACTTTGTGAGTCATTCAGAGAGTTTCATTAACATCCAAGAATAGTTCATATACTCTCACCTTTGGTCTAACTTTAGCCCTTTCCAGACTTGCACTGGAACCCTGAAATTATCTAGGATGCAAATGTCCAAGTCAGCTGACCTGGACATTAAGTGGACTTTACTCTGCCAGCTCCCTAGTACAAAGTCTGCGCAATGTCTGAGTGAACCGGAGTGAGCCCGTGTGAGAAAACAGCTGTGTATAGCCTGGAGTATTCACACAGAGCTAGTGGGTGTGTTGATGATGCTCTAACATCAGATGGTGAAGAGTCTTGATTTACAATGAAGATTCCCTAATGTCAGCAGAGGTTTGACAGGTTACTCTAATGAGAATAAGATGCAAGGACAAAATTCAAATCCAAAATTCATTTTGAGGACAACAACCTGTTTCATGACACTACAATTTCTCTCAGTTCCCAAGTGTTTTTCAAGACAGCAAAACTATCAGAACTGTCATCAGAGCCGTTTTCAAAAATATAAATCTGTAAGCAAATGAAATTTTGCAGAAGGACAACAAATTGAATGTATGTGAGCCCAGTTCTTGTTGTCACTTAGCAGCTTTATAACTGGAGACAACAGATATCTATAAACACAACATCTACATATTATCACCGTATAAAATAATTCCAGCAGACAGTTATCCATCACACATCCACAAGACATAGAGTAACACTTCAGTCTCTTAGCTGGTAACTGCTCCACTATTTCTACCAGTTGGTTGCTAACCGAATACGTCTTCTGTTTGGTGCTGCCAGGTTGTGTACTGTGTGTCTGTCTATCAGAGATTCTTCTTTATGGAAAACAGCTGCCTCCTGTTGCTGGAATCAAGCTTGGCGAGTGTTGAGAGTGAAGCCACACAGTAAAAATACAAGCTCAAAACAATGTGCTGAAAGATGCTCAAACTCTGCTATTAATTAATTTTTTGTGACTGCAATCACTTTAATCACATCATGATTCGGGCTGTTAAGAAAACACTGAATTTAATTCTATTTTTAATGAATTCATAAATGTTTATATAAAACATCTACTGGCAGATGAGGACAGCCCAGCCTGAAATACATTTTTGTTCTGCAGACAACCCAAAATTAAAACTGAACTATATGTTTCTATAACTTTTAAGTGTACCTCAAAAGACCTGTTAAACAAGCAGCAGTCAAGTGAGAAACAGATCTTCAACTTTAAAGCAACAGTTGCCCCAACATGCCTTCAAGCTCCATATTTTATTAAGTGAGTGCTGGCACAAACACTAAGTGAAGCTAAGCCACACCTAGATCCTTAAATAGAACCCGTATGCTACCGCGCCCCCCCACCCCGGCTATTTCTGTCTGAACCCTGTGAGTGAAAGAAAGACAGAGAGAGAGAGAGACACAAATTATGTGAATGTAACTTCTGGAAGCTTCAATTATTATTTACAAGCCCCTTTAATCTTCTCTTATGATTGCCACTGACTTATTATAACAAACAAGCTGCTCTCAGCACGCTAAATAACCAGCCAACCAAGAAAACCAAAGCACAGAATCACTAGATGGAACAGATTTATGGGGAGCTGTAGGCTTTAAAATACAAATGACTCCCTGCTGTGTCGACTGGATTAGACAACAGAAATTGAGTTAGCCTAGATTCATGGACACAGGGATCCATACACATGTGTAAGCAATGTCTGGGCATGTGTGAACACACATGCATATAGAAACATACATGTACAAAGTCTAATCTCATTACAGGATGCTGCCAGATGCACTAATCAAAATGACCAACCAGAAATCAAACTTTGGCTTCATTAGTTTCGCTCCAGAAGGCTGAGTTACTGTACACTCACCCTGTCCTGGAGGCACCATGGGTACTCTGCTGGTGTCAGGGGAATGGCAGATGACCCCGGTCTCAGTGACAGTGGCAGGACTAGGGACGTCCAGGAAAAGGCAGGAGTAGGACTCACCTTCTCCTAACACTGGAAGACCCGGGACTGAGAGAGAGACCTGAGGAAAGACAATGTTAACATGATTCAGACAGAGCTGCTGTATATGAGGATTCAAAAATTCATATGGGGTCCATGTTTGCAGATTACATTTAAACTGCATTTATAAATGCTAAAATGCATCTCAGTGTGACAATACTCAGCAGAAGACTGGTAGAGGATGCCCAAAGAATAAATACAGGTAGAGGTATGTGAGAGAAAACTCAGTTAGTACACCTGTGCTGTTACCTAAGACAGTGAAAGTCAAAGAATTTGAAAACAACACTTCCTGTTGCGGGAATACAAATAATTTTATTTTGGATTTAGCTCCATATGTGCTGCTCATTCATGTGATGTTTCTGCATCGCACTTGTAAGACATCATCTGTCCCTTCAGAGCACATGACATCATACGTTTCTAAACTCTGTGGTTCTCTGTGTGATATCTTGCCACACATTTCTTCTAAGTTAAAGTGTAACAGTGAAGAACATTTCCTAAGCAGGACACATTTCTTTATTTATTATTTATTTGATTTATTCTTTCAAACATGTAACAACAGTCAATATGTCAACACACATAATTCCACACATATCCACAAATATATTTTCAATTTGCTCATACCTAGTACATGCTTGAACGGAGTAGGAAGAAGTTAGACTTATCTAGTCCTACCTCTTAACATCATCTTATCATCATTGGTTTGCAAGCAGTATTACTACATGGATAATTTTGTTCTACACCACGCTAGTGATATACTAAAAACACCACACTCCCAATGTTACACCTGATTAATCGTTAAGCCTGTTCTTGCCCATATCTTGATTGACACATACCTTTATATTTGTGTTTAAACTCATCAATTTT